CCCCACCCCCACCCGCTGCCGCCGGAGAGGGGCGGGCTCTAAATACAACCCACCAATGGGCAGCCGGCAATCCGACTCGCCCGCCCCTTACCATCTGCCGGCGGGCCAATCCGAGGGGGCGGGGGCGCTGCGGCGGCCAATGGGAGCGCACGTCGGTCGCTAGGGAGGCGTGAGGCCCTGGAGAGGGGAGGGCGGCGGGCGCTGGGGGGAGGGAGGTAAACAAAATGGCGGCGGCGTGCTAGCGGCGGCGGGGGCGAGGCGGCGCGGGGCGCTCAGAAGTGAGGAGGGGGCGGGGAGCGCGAAGCCCCCCCCGGCAGGGTGTGGGGACGGGGCAGGGTAGTGGGGTAGGGGTCCCCTGTGCTGGCCTTGCTGAGGGGGGGCAAGGGGTCAGCTTCGGGTGAAGGGCGGCCCCTCAGCGGCTTGGGGGAGGGGCTGCCTCATGAGGGGTCATGACCCCCACCCCTGGCCCCCATTTTGGGGTCCGGGCGCGGTGTGAGCCGGTTCCGTGTCTCCCAGGTCACCGAGCCCTGGAGCCGCGGCGGCGACGCATCATGTGTCAGGCGGCATCGGAGCGGCTGAAGGATGCCCCCGGGAGCTCTCGGTAGGCCCGGGAGGCCTCCAGCGTTCGTCGGGAGGGACCGCAACGCGGCAAGGATCGGTCTCGAAAACGCCTTTGAGGAAACCTGGTTCCAGCTGCCGAACGGCTGAGGGACGCCAGCGGGGGAGCAGAAACCAGCCCCGCGGGGGCCATGACCAGCCAGTAATGGAAAGTCACGAAAGAGACTCGTCCGTCTTCTGGTGTGTTTGACGTCTGGGATCCCAGAGGATGACCTAGCACTTAAGCATTAAAACTGGGCCAAATTGAAGGCCAAGAGTTGACCTGATTGAGCCCAAGTAGTGGGACCGGGTCAAAAGGTAAAATCAATAAATCCTGAACTGAAAAATTCAGACATTGAAAAAAAATAAATAAATAAAACAGCAAGAAAGATCGCGTTGTTGGGGCCAGACTCTGGATCTTATCAGACCCTATCGAGCTACGAGCAGCTGGTGGTTCTTTTTTTGTTTGTTGGTTGTTTTTTGTTTTTGTTGTTGGGTTGTTTTGTTTTGTTGTTTTTTTTTTAAATTAATGTTCGTACAATCTTATGGATAATTTTTTTCAAGGAGTCAAAGGGAGTGTCGGGAGCTAAAAAGAACTGGATTAAAATCTTAAGGGCTGAGGCAAGTGGGTTACAGAACTGAATCCAGGATGGATATGCAAGAGCCCCAACAGCTGAGTATGTTTGCAGACAGTGAGCTGATGTCTGTGGGGATGGACGCTTTTATCCATCGCATCGATTCCACTGAGGTCATTTACCAGCCACGGCGCAAAAGGGCCAAGCTTATTGGCAAATACCTGATGGGGGACTTACTCGGAGAAGGGTCTTACGGCAAAGTCAAGGAGATGTTGGACTCTGAAACCCTCTGTAGAAGGGCTGTCAAAATCCTGAAGAAGAAGAAGCTACGCAGGATCCCTAATGGGGAGGCAAATGTTAAAAAGTGAGTATGGGTTCCTGCGGCTAGTCGCAACAGAGTTAAATCCGGTCAGTGTTTTCTGGCTGGCAGTCCGTATTGTTTTATTCAGGACCGCATGTAGCCATACATTTTGAAAGGACTTTATAAGCCACATACATGCAGGAATTGCTTCACCTCTGAAATGCAGCCAATTATGAGTTAGAGGGTAACTCTCTTAAATACTGCTGAACAGTGGCGGGGGGGAAGGAAAAGGAAACCTTTTATTCCCAAGGGCATAGGGAGCAAATATATCCACTTCTACAAGCAGCACAATGTTCTGGGCTGTCGGGCATTGCTACAAAGTAGGGAGAACCCCTCTTTCTGCAATTTCATCCAAGAGGCACACAGTAAACAGTGTTGTGCTTAGTTGCCCTAACAAGGCAGGGTGAAAGGTTGCCTGCTGCAGAAGAAGAATAAACTTTGCATTGCCGCTTTGTGCATATGATACTTCATGGGCCTCTGCTGGAAAGTCTTGCGTTCCGGGCACTTATTACGTGGATTGGAGCGTGAGCCAGTGCGTTGGAAGACTTGGGCTCTATTTCTGGTCGTGCTATTGACCAGTGTGACCTTGGGAAGTCCCTTAATCTGCCTTGGTCAATTTCTTTTTTCAGTTGTAAAGTGGAGGTAATGATGCCTCTCTCTTGGGGAAGTGAATTTGTGGTTGAAGAGTGCTCCGAGTGCTAAGTCATGTATTGGTAAACAAGTTTCGCATCCAAATGACTCCTGATTCAAATGCCATATTGGGATACACTGGTTCTGTGCTTCAGTCAGAAGTGTAGTTCGTTTTTGACATTCCCTTTCCTTAATGTTACATGTGCAGGGGCTCTACAGGCAACTGCATTTGCCACAGCAAGCCATGTGAGATTGGGTTGTTTATCTGATGCGAAGGGGACACTTTTGCTGCCAAAACAAATAGTTTTCAGCAGCTTATCTCGTGGCAGGAGGAAAACTTGGGAGATGTTTCCAAGTCTCCTGTGATATTTCTGGAGTTGCCTCTTTGCCTGCAGCATGCTGAGTGCAGAGCCCTGACCTTGTGGGCTCTTGTTTCTGTTTTTCTGTTTTGGTTTGGGTTGTTGAGGTCAGCTGGCTAGTGCTTCACATCCTGTGCTGGGGCCTTCCGTTGGTTAGCTTTTCAAGTTTACCTTCTAACCTTGAGAGTGTAGGATGGATGGGCTTTGCTCCAGTGTTACAACAAAATCATGATAGGGAATCTCGTCTCTCTAGTGCTGGCCCTGATTTTTATAAAAGCAAACTGCTGGTTAATGTGTCACTTTGTTCCCTTCTCTTTCTTTCTCTGGTCTCCAGTGACACCCAGGGCTTCCCCAAATAAAGGGAAAGCTGCTTTCCCCTGAATTGTTCCCCTAAAAGCTCCCCCCTTCCCAGTGAAACAGAATTCTTGGAATTAACCTGTCAGCTTTGTGATGCAGAAAGCATGAAGTGGTCCTGTGTCCTGAAATAAACTATGTAGAAATATCATCTGTATCCTCTTAATTTTACTGTCCTTAGCTATCTTGTGGATGTGTCTCACCTCATTTAGTTACCACAGCAGTTGAACCAGAAGATATTTAATTTCTGTGATCAATCTGGGTTGCTTATTCAGGAGTACCTGATTATTAGAGTTCTTTGGATCTGTGGCTGCAGTATTTGAAACAGGCTTTTGCTTCAGCCTTCTAGCAGTGGTCTATTTTAGCACAGGTACAGAATTAATACCTTTTATCCTTGTCACCTTTCTCTTCCCTTCCTCCATCCACATGTAACACCACTTTTTTTAGATTGTCACTTTAGAGCACGGTGTCTTAGGTTTGTACAGTGCCTTTATTGGAGTCTGAACTTAGTTGAAGTAATTAGGTACTAATGCAATATGAAATAGATAAGTTGCTACCAATTTAAACACAGTGCTTGGATCTGATCTGACAGAGCCTATAGGTCTTCCTATTTGACTGGGCAGTGTGGATAGGGACTGAATAGTAAAAATATATAACTCTCACCCTGTAAGGACCTATTTCTAGGTAGCATTGTTTCTGAACAGTGTTTTAACATAGTTCAGTTCCAGTTTTGCAGCTTGGCCAGACTCCAATAAAACATCACTTGGCTGCAGTCAACTTTGCATGTCCTTGCTTAAATGTGGCATGTGCACAGTGAGCTGTTCACGTGCCATAGAATAGTGGAATATCCCATTCTGGATTGAAATTAGGCTTTCTGCCACAGCCTGACAAGATTCTACTTCCTTGCCCTAGAGTGATTTAGCAAGTGAAGTAATACGTAAATATACTGCAATTTGAATTGTAACCTTTGGTAGGCTGAGGTTTATTCCTAATTCTGCCTCTAAATTAGCAGGTGATGCTTAGATCTTGTGTTGATGTGGTTGGAATATTCTGCAGAAACTTCATGACAGAAGTGGGGTGCACGGCAGCTCCTTTAATCTTTTATGCTTTCCCACCCATCCCCCCCACTGCTGATTGGTGAAGGGGCCCCGCTTGCAGCTTGCTCCTGATCGGCAGGGAGGCAAAAACTGGTTTTAAATATGGCACTGTTTTTTGCCTCCCCTTGCTGATTGGCTGAGGAGCCCTGGCTGCACCACTGCCTGCTTCTGACTGACAGGGAGGCAAAAACCATGCCATGTTTAAAACCCTGGTTTTTACTTCCCTGCCAGGAGGGAGTGGTGGGGCCCCTCGGCCAATTAACATGAAAGATTAAAGGGGCTGCTGGACACTCCACTTCCGCCATAAATTTGGTAAGTCCCTACCCATAGTGAATATGGGGGGATCCCATTGCTGTTGTGAGTCGAAAAGTGTGTCCCCCTTTAGGTGTATGCCTCTCTTACTATTTGATTGTCCTGCCTTGAAAGGAATGATGAATAGTTTAGGGATGAATTTAGGGCACAGAACCACTACAAGTTAGGTCTGCATGGAGTTTACTTTGCTACCTGAAATATGGTATGGTCTGAACACTTCAGTGGCCTGGATGTGTTGTAAACTTGGTCTTGTTCTCATTCCCATTGGACAAGTGTCTGCATGGCAAAAGTTGCTCCCAATGCTAGCATTTAGCAGTCTTCCTGTTGGCCTCACCAGAAATGCCAAGGATAGAATGGGCCACAGACTGAACTCCCTTCTCATCCCTAGCAGTATAGTCCTTTCCAGACAGGGTCCAGACACATAATTGCCTGTGTATATGCAATAGTGTAGAAGTGCATGGCTCCTTTACCTGCTGCAGGAGTAAGTGTTGATCTCCTTGGCTGTTGGGCCAGCATTTTGTTCATGAAAGTTCACACTTTAAATTCTTTATTATTTCTCATGTAATCCAATTAACTGATCCCAACAAAGAGCTGTGGGGAGGGCACTGATTCTCCCCATGTCCAAGACAGGTTTTCTAGGATGTCAAAGAGCATCAGAAATAATCCTTAAAAGGCTGATGTCAACAGCAGCTGGAGCATTTGACCCCATAAGCTCAAGAAGCTGGTGACCTGCTAATCCCAAAGTCTAAAATTAACCTGCTTGTGATTTCTTTTGCACGTCTCATAATGAGAGACATGTGGGCCTCATTGAGCTCAGGGTTTTCTTTCTCACTTCATCACACATAGCTGCTTTTTCATCTTGGGTTGGGGGTGAAAAATTCCAAGTGTCTAGATAATTATTGAGCATTTACTTGGTGAGGCTCCTGGTTTGGCTCTCTGTCTGTAAGGCAGTCAGCGTGCTGTGCCAAGTGAGATCTGGCTGAGCTTTTACTCCACTAGCCTTCTAAGGAAACCCAATTGTCAGCTGTTGCTCCCTTGCTAATGGTGGCATGGTTAATATGTTTCTCAGCCGATTTACACTACAAAATCATTTTGTTTTAATCCTGCCTCTCCCTGCAAAGTAGTTTAATAGGACCAAGAAATTGTAGAATGTTTCAGCCTTTTGGCCCATAAGGTTAAGTTCTTACCTACCTGTTCTGGCTGACTGGTCTGCTCACAGTAAATAATCTCTAAGACGACTGGATCTTGGTGATGATTTGGGTGTTTGAACTCCTACATACAATAACTGTTTCTCTGAAATAATTGTAGGAAATTGTCTTCATCCAAGGCAGTGATTCTCAATCAGGGTGCCACCAGATCCTTTGAAGGGTGAGGCAGGGCTGAGGAGGTAAGCAGATTAAGTGGAAAGATGCTGGCTGGGGCTTGTCCCTGCCTCAGTGATTCCCCTACTCTCCCTGCCCAGCCTTTCCGCAAGGAGGCAAGCACTGTTATATATTAGGTTTTGAAATTGGGTGTCGCTCAAATCAAAAATGTTTTTTACGGAGCAGCCCTGAGTCCAGAAAAGGTTGAGAACCACTCATCTAATGTTGGAAAAGTGTGGGGTGGCTTTTTCAATCAGACACTTTGTGGTTAGCTACTGCCCTAGTTAATAGAAAAAGAGTTTAGCATAGATGTCAAAACAGGTGAAAGAATACTAGGAACCTACTTGTCTCTGATAGCACAAGTTTAATGAAACTAAATGCTAATAGTCTCTCATTTAATTAAGTCTATGGGACTCTGCCTGTCCCAGGTGTCCTGTGCTGTACTTACCATGCTCAGCACTCACTCCCTGACTTGAATACCTTTGTGAAGGATTGGAATGGACAGACAAGTGATCTGACCATTTACTGTTTACTCTTGCAAATCAAGAGCCATTGGAACCATATCATGGGCAACCTAGCAGAAGAGGCACTTGACAACCCTGCTGAAGGTCATGTGTTGAACAGGTGTCCATCTAAATCTGGGTTTTAATTGGCCATCCAGCAGTGATTCTGTGAATCTGGAAAGACTTCAGGTTGGGACCTGCTTGCTTGTTACTTTCTGTGCCAAGCTGTTTGAAGTCAGGTGTTTGGTCTTGGAGCAAAGTTGTAGGAACTTCAACATAGCTACAGAAGAGCTCAGGACAGTATAATAGTTCAGCGAGCGTAGCACTTGTAGTATCTGGCATTGAATGGAGGAGGGAGGTGCAGTGCATATCAGTGCCCGGAGCTAG